GTGCTGAGCTATGGGCAAAAGTCAGGCCACGTACGTGACTCGAACCCGCACCTCCGGCCTCCCGGGCGTTTGCGTTATCCACTACGTTATCGGGGCTACGTTTACCCTCTCAGCTCGGCGACTTTTTGTGCCATTGCCTTTTAGCACATCACGTGCTCGATGCTAGAAGGCAATGACACACAAGACCATTGAGCTGAGAGTAAGAGCGGCTCTGGTGCAGACTTACGTACAGGATGAATCCTTGCCGTGCGCGGACACTTCTGCAGCTGTACAAGTCTGACGCTTTTATCACCACGAGAAAGCACGGAGAGTGGAGGGTTGCGAAAACTGGATGTCGTTTTGGACTGCACCCGCTGTACACAACGGGCAGCATGTGTGCGGTGCTATGGTCGTGCAGAGACAACATGAACGGCAGGCTGTCTAGTGTGGTGAACAACGTAACGTAAGAGGGAACAGTCAAGCAGCGCGTTTGACTACAGTCAGGCGTATGCCTTTATAGCATCATGTTGCGTCTGCGCAGGACAAATCGTTGTTGGGGAACTCCCAGCAGGGAAGAGGGGTCGTATTTGGCCGCTGGGAGAGGGGGAGTCGTATTTGGGTTAAGAGAAGATTCTTCTCCTTTCTTCGCTCTCCAGTCTCATTTCGATGCGCTTTCGGATGGCAAAATTGGCACACTTCTACACCTGCAGCCTCGTTCACCTCGCCACATGGTAAAGAACAGGATCTTCGGAGGTGAGCGTAACTGCGCATCTTTATTGCTTGATAATGTTCCCCACACAAAATCATCTTTGTCTTCTTCCTTTATACGTCTATTCATTATTAACACAAGAGAAGCAGAGAGGTATTGTTGACAACGGTGCTCAGCAGATCAGACGTGCTCATCACCATCAAACTCGTAATCACAATGGACGAAAGCTCGTTCTACAAAAGTGAGTTGTTCGAGCTTTGCTTGCAAAGTCTCGGACACATCGTGTGCTTCACACAAACTGATTTCACGATCCATCACCTGAAGATTTAATATACAGTGGTCTTGAGTGCAGTTTGACGATGGGGGGGGCATTTTGCACTTTCGCTACTTCCCATCGACGTGTCGACCTATCTAGGCAGCCTCTTCTCGAGTTGACAGGTTTTACCATGATGGCTAGATGAGCTTGCTCCAGCTTCACAAGAGTTCACAGGTTTCGCCAGAGTGAGACTTGTAAACCGGAACTAGGGAAGCAATGATAGTACAAAATGCCCCCCCCCCCCTCCCCCGTCGTCAAACTGCGCCGTGGTCTTTCTAGGTATGTGTGAATGTTACTACACTAACCACATGCAATTCGACAAGGAAATTAGCTCCGAAGTGGTAGACGTATACGGTATCCAAGATGCTTGATGCGATCGTCATGGCTTATAGCAACCTAAAGTCAATATAAAGATAGATAGCATTGTCGAATAGGTCTAGTTCATCACATCCGAGGCGCGGCATCGCGCGCGAATCGGACCTTCATAGCTAGCTGACACATCCCGTCGAGCGGCACAGTGCCATCGTTTTCCACAGTTGCCACTGCGTACACCGAGTGTTTGCCGCAATTTCACGCCTGCTTTCATACTTGAAAGGAAAACGCTGGTCTTCATTATTCAGAAATATTTCTGTTTCCATGCTACCACTTGTTCCACCACTTAATAAAACTAGGCCTATCAGTTTAGCAGTTCTGGAAAAAAGAAGCGCTGTAGGTGCGCACTACCGTGTCTTACCCATTAGAATAAGTCAATTAGCAACTGTGAGCTGATTCGCCTCGCCTCAGATGTGATCGACTATACCCCTTTTGAGCGGGCGGACTGCAACTAGTCTCTCTTTAAAGGCACGTTCCGCGATAAACTAAGGCTAGAACCTCATAAACGTGCATGATGATCAAGCAGGCAACAGTAGAGGATATGCTGCTTTTAAAAGTTGAAAAACAGCAAGCAGAACGCACGACGCTCATGTTTTAGGCCCATTGGCGCCCGATAGGCCCATGCCGGCGTCCCTTTTGCAATCCACAATCAATCTTGACCATCTTTTTCCCATTGACCCCTCACGGAGCATCATTATGAGACAGGGTTCAATAAGAACTGCACTCACATTGATAATGCGATTGATCACTTGAGGACTTGCTGATTTGCCAATCAGTAAAGGCACCTGTTCTCTTATGGTGAGGAACCATGTCACAATGATTAGAGTGCTGGAAAATTGTCACATTCATGTGTCAGTAATTGAATAGAAGGCGATAAAAGATCTAGAAGAGCTCAATATGCAGAATTGTAAACCGTACACTCAACGTTCCTTGTCATGAGCGAGGATTATTGGCCCGCAGATGCAGTAGCGTGCACCATCTTCGCTAAAGCTACAAGAGAACGGAACTCAGGAAAATCGCACTCGAATGCCGTCTTCATGCACCGCCCGTGCCACCTCAAGGTGCAGCTTTTACTTCGATACCAGAATCCCGCACATGAACATTCACCCAGCGGTGGAGGACGACCAGAACTGGTAAGGCACAGACAGTTAGCGCAGTAAGCTATGGTTCGGCCTGTGGCTGGCTATTGTAAGTGTCCCGTATCATAGTAATCAGATAGTAGTGTAGTACCCTTATCTATTTCTTTCATCAGCGCTTCTCTTGCGCAAGCTTAGAGGAGTGCTAGGGGTACGGTATTGCTGAGTCATCTCACGCATGGTATTTAGGCTGCGTTTATA